TGTGCAAGTGTTTGCGTACTTATCCACTTAAAGAAAATCTCCTTACTTATCTGTGCAGTCCCAGCTAACTATCCAACACAGCTTGAACCGTGAACATCACATACTGACAGAAACCTAAACCACTTAAAGAGCCACCAACAATTTGTTTCATAACTTCAGATAAATTTAATGAAACTGTAAACTGCTAGCAGCAAATAGGCTAAATCTGACTGATAAATTATTTGCAGTGAAATGTTTTGATGATCTGGTTTGCTATATTTCAAAAACATAACACTCCCGAATCCATTTCCCCAAATCTAAAGCAATCTCAGGGTACTAGAATTGAGTTGAGGGAGTATTTCCTTAGCCCCCACATCAGTCCTCATAGAACCTCAAGTACGCTTAACTTATAAGGCTTTACTTTCCTGAATTTAGTAATTCTTCAAAGTTAATGTTGCAATAATATTTTACACACCCACACAGGCAGATCTGAGTGACAAAACTTGCACACACCTGCCTGCATGAGTCCCACTTTTGTTTCCTGCATTTGCTTTTATAAATAAAAAGTGAGTGCTCTCGAAAAATGAGCAATTAACATTCATGTTAGCCACGGGTCTCTACTGGACAGTGACTTGGCAACAACACAATAAAGTATCTATCCCCCCGTCCGAGTCTAGGATTACGCTCAATGCCTTTGCAAGTCATCACAACTGTTCAAAAAGTAACTTCCTTATGTTTCATTTTTACTGCCATGTGGAGAGACTTGGAACAATTAACCAGAGCTAAGAAGAATTATCTGACTCATCTGCACTCCGTAAGTTTTTTTTTTTTTTAAAATAAGAAAATTAAACTAAATTTAAAATTATGGTTCTGTACCGAAGAATTTTCCTCCCAGATGATCAAGCTCAATAAAATGACCACTTTTTCCCCCCTTTAGAAATCTATTTATATTACAGCCAATATTATGAACTGCTCAGTGGGTAACGTACACCAATCTGAACGTAATGTTTGCTGAGGCAGACCGTCAACTAGCATTCAGACTACCACCACCATCGCCACATATTATACAGTACTTTTCCATGAGTAGATTATCAAAGCACTAGGCAATGGAGGTCAATATCAATAGCCCCATTTTAACTGGAGGAAACTGAGGCACAGAGCAGTGAAGTGACTTGCCCAAAGTCACCCAGCAGGCCAGTGGCACAGCCAGAAATAGAGCCCAGATCTCCTGAGTCCCAATCAATATGGATCCTTCATTTTTTATTATATATAAACAGCAATAGATCTTTCCACTTGGAAAAGTAGTTCCTAAAAAAATAACGAGACATCAGAGAAATGGGCAGAAACGCCTCATCTCGCTGTTACGCATATATTTGTTAAAAAAACAAAAATTAAAAGGTTACAACAAATTAAGATTCCCTGCATTATACAAGGCCTACCGCCTTGCAGTTCAAAAGCCCAGATGGCCTTACAGAATGCTTGTTGCCCAGCGGCCAATATTAGCTTTCTCTAAAATAAAATAAAAAAAGAATATTGACCTGTTCCTAATTTAACTTTTACACTAGGAAACTGGTTTAAAATGTCTGAAAGGGCCACGAACTGCAACTTGACACCTTGGTGCAGAATAAGGGAGCAGGCATTTTAAAACTGACATTTCCCTCCTCCCCCTTCAGTCACTCACTGCCAAATCCCCCACTACCTCTCTTCACCCCATTCCCGCAGGGTGCCATCTTGTGATGTTTTATAAATGGCAGTTTAAAGAATTAAGAATAATTTTGTTGATGCTGTCCATGCCCTCTACTATACTCTTTCCAATGAAACTGTCAAAGGTGATTTGTGTGATTCCATTCCGCCCTCAGAAGTCCCCCACATTGATAATGAATTGCAAGTCTTTTCCTGACAAATTTTCGAATTCCCGAGACAGCTGAGCTGCAGGTAAGCTCAGGAGGCAAAGCAGCTGTCAATGGGGAAAAGAAGAGAAGAGAAGGAAACTTGTTTCCAGGTTTAACTGCCCGTGCAGCTCAAAATCTGTAGGGATATTTTTTAAGTAACACTTAACGAGAGCAAGGAAGAAGCGATATTTTAAAAAAGTGCCTTCACCCATTTAAAACACAATAGTCACAGGGTTATGTATTTTCTGTTTGTGTGATGAAGTTCAAACTACGTAGCACCGAGAGTTTGTGCACAACTGTGACGTTAAGAATCATAGCTCCAACTCTTTGAGGGTCTGAGTGCTTTCAAATCCTATTGAAATGAATGGGAATTAAAAGCACTCAGGACCTCAAAGATTTGGGCCCTGTGAGTTATGAGCAGCAACAAAGGAGCAAGTATTTTGTACAGTGCAGCACCCAAAGATTGAAAATCTGAGAGGAAGGAAAATAAATTCATCCCAAAAAAGAAAAAGGCAAAGATACAAACATTCAGTAATAAATTAACCAGGCCAAATATAAGAAAAAACATTGATTTAGTGCAATATAAATAGAGCCCTACCAAATTCACTGTCCATTTTGGTCAATTTCAGAGTCATAGGATTTTAAAAATCGTAAATTTCATGATTTCAGGTATTTACATCTGAAATTTCATGGTGTTGTAATTGTAGGGGACCTGGCCAAAAAGGAGTTGTGGGGGCATGTCAGTACTGCTACCCTTACTTCTGCGCTGCTGCTTGCAGCTGTGCTGCCTTCAGAGTTGAGTGGCCGGAGAACGGCGGTGACTGCTGTCCGGGAGCCCAGCTCTGAAGGCAGAGCTGCCACAAGCAGCAGCACACAAGTAAGGGTGGCATGGTATGAATTGCCACCCTTACTTCCTTGCTGCTGCTGGCAGGGTGCTGCCTTCAGAGCTGGACACCCGGCCACAGTCGCCGCTCTCCGGCCGCCTAGGTGTGAAGGCAGCACAGAAGTAAGGGTGGCAATACCACGACCCCCCTTAAAATAACCTTCTGACCCCCCCTGCAACTCACTTTTGGGTCAGGACCCCTAATTTGAGAAACACTGGACTCCCCCGTGAAATCTGAATAGTGTAGGGTAAAAGCACACAAAAGATCCGATTTCATGGTCCGTGATGCGTTTTTCATGGCCATGAATTTGGTAGGGCCCTAAGTATAAAGTAACTGCTGGACACTTGTACACAATGTAATGGGCTTTCACTAGGAGGCAAGACTGAAACTAAAACAGAAAAACTGGTTACCTTGGGAAGTTGTAAAACATAACCTGGGGCAAATTTTCTTAGTTACACTAGTGCAATCCCACTCAGCAGCGCTGCACCAGTGTAATCGAGTGGAGAATTTGGGCTTTAGATATTAGTTCTATACAAATTAATCAATCATTCTCCAAACACAAATAATGCTTTATGGAAGAAATTCTTTATGTCCCATGTTCCTCTAAGAATACAAATTTAATGCATCCATCTACAAGTTTCTTGGTTCTTTTAGGTCTGCATTCTGAGTGTCACGAGTTAGTAATAGTGCAGAAAGGGTTAGTGCATAGGTATACAGCACCTGGTGTATTTATAAGAGTGACAGTTTTCTTAGATGGTTTCTTACATCCATTACCTTCCTTGAGAACTCAGCAAGTCCCAAGCATGGTGAAAAGGTTGTAAAAAACCCTTCCAGAGCAGCAAGAAGCCTATAGCTGATTCAGTAAAATGCAAAGCCTGAGGAGTTTTGGTAATAATTTTCCTCATTTTTTCCTGCCTCGGAGCGTGACAAGGGCATTTTTATTATTAGGTCCCTTTATCATAATTTTACAAGATTTGCACTGTTGCCTGTAAAGCACTACGGAGGCTCAGAACATTTTCTCACCTCACAGTGTTATTCCCTATCTCCCAAACTCCGGCACAAAGGAAATGTCAGACCAACACTAGTCCATTCTAGTGTAGAGGCTTTGACAGTGGTCAGTAGCAAATGCTTAAGAGGAGGATATAAAATCAACGTAATGGACTACTGTAACATGCTTATGGGAGGTAGAGGGTAGGGGGAGATAGACGCTATCTTCTCAACCCCTAGCAGTTAGGGTACATCTTCATCGCAGAGTTAACTCAGTTTCCGACTCAGATGTTGCCCTTAATCTCCCTTCCACCACAACAAACAAACCTCTTTGAATTTGGAGAAGTTTTCTGTTTGGGCTAGCTGGCTCGTCTTGGACGGTAGGCTAAACAGTGAGTCAGGGTTTCAGTCATGTTGGCAACCCACTCACTTTGCAGTGAGGACGCAAGCTAAATCTCTCAAATGTAGATAGTCCTCCAATGTCTTCCCACAATTCCCTTGTGTGTTCAGGACAGACAAGATCTCCTACAATTCACTGGGAAAGAATTGTAGAGCACCTCAGTTTACACCAACACAGAGAACCATGGGAATGCCACCAGAAATCCTAGTGAAACACAGGGGAGTGCAGCACCAGTGAGGACACTAACTTGAGAATGGCTTTGCAGTGGTGCTGCTCACACCTAGGCAAAGCTAAGCTGACCCAGACCCAGGTGCTGACCACCCAAGTTAATTCTGCAGTGAAGACGTACTTGAAGCAATTGGCTTCTGTCCTGAATCATGAAGGTTAATATCCCATGTAGAAATAATTGTGGATATTTCAACCATATAAAAATGTTTAATCCTATTAAAATCCTACTGAATTGTTGAGCTCAGTGAAATATGGTGGCAACGAGTTCCACAGATTAAGTTCTACATTAAAAATATTTCCTTTTATCAGTTTAAAAACTGTGCCTTTTTCTGGGATACCCAAGTGACCCACTCCACACCATTCATTCATTCTTCTGTATACCTTCATCATATCACCTTTTATTCATCTTTTCTCTGGATACTCCTAACCCTGTCACTCTCTCCTCCTATGGAAATCTTTCCAAACTAGGAAAGACAGCAAGATGAAGGGGGAAAACACTAAGATCAAGTAATGCCTGCACAAGAGCTGTATGAAATTTGGACACAGATCTGGTTATTTACTAAAATATGAATGTTTTCTGTACAAGTTAAAGGTGAAATTTAATTGGTTTAAATGCTAATCAGAACTCACCCCTAAAACCCCAAATCTTTCACAAAAGTTCCAACCACAGAGAAAGTCGATTTCATAGTTGTGATTAAGGATTACGATGGCATTCTCTTTCCCGTACTTGTGGTAACTCTCTGGGTCAGTGTAGAGGGTGCAATCAGTGCCTGACCACCATTCCAGCAACATCACCATCTCTGGAACAAAACAACAAATAAATGAATATATAAAATACATGTGCGCCCACAAATCTCTTACACGCTGAAAGCATCACTTGCCTCTTACAGGACATAGCAAAGGAAATCACTGCAGCTCATCTAGGCTGAATCTGCAATCGTCAGTCACACACTCATACAGTTGGGCAGAGAGTGGGGGTGCAGGGCTAGATGGAAGATAAGTCGAACAACACTTTCTACAGTGCTTAAGTTTTTTTAAAAAAAAAAGCTTTTGGAAGGAAGGCAGGCATCTGCTTCCATTTTGTGGGAGATCTTGCCAGCACTCTAGTAACTCCTAAGGCTGAGGTCAACCAACAACCTATAGCTAGGCTTGTAAGGATGAGATTTTTAATCGGTAAATGCCAGTAAATGTCAATTTCACTGTACACACACAACCCAATGAAAAAAAATATTTCCATCAATAATAAAACGAAATTTACAGATAGGTAAGGAAAAATGCTGCTGGAGAACTTAAGAGTTTGATTTAAGGATATTTACTTCGTATATTTTGACGTGACTTGACAATTTGCATTTTAATGGTTATAAAGCGTAGACAGTTGAATCAAATGTCTGAACCTGCCATCACCTGACCCTCCCCTCCATTTCCCCACAATTGTAAAAGTTTAAATGGATAAAAATAGAAAATACACATACAAATAAATATCCACATTATCCATCAAAATTGTAAATCAAATTTGGCCAAGTCTACCTATAGCACATAGGGCCTGATCCTAGCAGCCTTCTGGGGGCGCTCAGAATCTTGCTAGATCAGGCTCAAATTCTAGGGCTCTTAATTTCATCTGCAATATGAAAAAAATATAACTGCATATTCAATTATTTTGTACTAGGGTGTTCATAAGGTACCATCCATTATTACCACTCATGATAGCCACCTCCTGACCCTCTGCCTCTTCAGATACGTAGAAGAGAAGGATGAATACCCACTCCTCAGATCATACCCCTATAAATACACAACAAAAGCTTGTTTGTTAACAGGTGACTTCTGTGCACACACCAAGAGGTCTATTCTCCTGTTCAGGCAGACAAATCAAGAGCGCTGGGCAGAGAGGCAGACAGGTGGGATCAGAGCCACAATGTTTTCCCTTTGGGTTGGGCCAGGCCGCAAGTGCCCATAGCAAAAAGACTGATGTGAGTGAAATGAGCAGTGACGATTGTCACTTCAAGCACTCGTCCAAACCAGGTGGCAGTAGCGTTGACCCCATTCTCTGCTGAGCCAGAGCACCCTCTCTGAATATGGCCCTTCCTACTGCTGACAGACAGGAGGCAATCCTTCCAGCAGTGCTAATACAGCACCGGGAGAGGCCAGTCAGCTACCATGTTAGCAGCTGCACGTCAAGTATTTTACACACTGGAACAGCTGTCAGTTGGGAAGGCTCATTCTATGGCAGGGTGCCCATTTCACAGAACCACTCTGTTGCCAGCTTTGTCTAAGGTTGCACACTCTGCTACTCAAACAGCAGCTTTCTCAGAAGACCCCGCTCCATGTAATTGGATCAGAATTAGGGACCCTATCCACCTTCTGCTGTAGTAAATGGAAAGGCTCCCTCTGGATTCGATGGGAGTTGGATGAGGCCCTAGATGGACAAGTCAATAGCGCGGGATGGTGGAAATGAAGGGAAATGATGGGGAAGTGAAATTTAAATGGACACTGTCCGTTTATAAATCATTTATTTGCAAAAAATCATTTCCTACTTCACTACCATATGTTATTAAAACAAAAAAAGTAATGGTTTAATTGGCTCTTCCCCACTTATACTCTTTGGTTTACTTTCTGAACTTCTGTCAGCCTGGATAATGAAAATAGAGGAGTCAATTTCACTTTGGTTTACAGTTAGTTACTCTGGTGCCCATGGAGAAGCCCAACCCTATAATGTTTGGGTTGCAAACTCTGTGGAAACGTTTAAGTGCAAACAAAAATTGGTTTCATTCTCAAGAACCAGGGGGTAGCCGTGTTAGTCTGTATCTACAAAAACAACAAGGAGTCTGGTGGCACCTTAAAGACTAACAGATTTATTTGGGCATAAGCTTTCGTGGGTAAAAACCTCACTTCTTCAGATGCAACACTCAAGAACAACACTTCTGTTAGGAGCAGGTTTTGAAACCACATTGAACCAGTTTAAGTGTGATTTAAACTGAAATACCTTCATCTTAAGGATTTGCACTGGTACAAATTAAGTGATTTTATATCAATTTAGTGACACTAGTGCAAGTTTTCTACTATAGGCCTACGGTAAAATTTCCAAACACCCCTAAATCCCGTTTTCAAAAGTGCCTAAGTTCCACTGACTTCCAATGAGAGACTCATTAGTGCCCAAGTTACTTTTGATAATGGGTTTTAGGTACTTTTGAAAATTTTACTCCTGGCCTCAGAGTGCATAGGTAAAGATGTGGTTAAAGAAAGAGGGGCATATTCAGAGGCATGGGAAATGTCAATTCAACCTCATTACACTAACTTAAATTAGGGTTACCATACGTCCGGATTTTCCCGGACATGTCCGGCTTTTGGGGATTCAAATCCCTGTCCGGGGGGAAATCCCCAAAAGCCGGACATGTCCGG